CTGTACAGTTCTTCAATAGAGTAATGGGGTTGTAAAAATGTTCTCTTGAGTTGTGTTTCCACATTACTTTAAGCATAAATCCTATCTTCATGAATAATGATATCAATGAATTGTATGCTGTTATCTGCAGCTTCTGCCTTGCTTGCACTCATGATTTTTGTCCTAATGCCCACGAAGGTAGCTTAATGTGGCCTTGTCCCACTTTACATAAAGTCAGGGAGCCACAGAGCTCACCTGCACTTTTGTACTTTGTGGCAGTGCAAAATGTTTGGCCAGTTCTGATTCAGAACCAGCCATCCCACTTTCCCTGGACTTGGACAATAGTGATAGCACATACTATCATTCTTGTATCCTTGGTTTAGCGGCAATCACCCGACACAAAATTGATGGTGATTGTCACTCATGTAGTGATGCTGGTTGGAGTGCCAGAGTGATTGGAGAAGGGAGGAGTGGGTGACCGGATATTTTAACAAGCCCAGTGTTACAAAATTCAGCAATGTATTTTGGCAAGTACAAGAAAAGTGCTTATTCTGATGAAAAAAAAATAGAGATTTTCATTGGTGATATTGTCTGCCTGTTTTTGACATTAGCAGACTCACTTGCACTGAAACATTTGTGCAGATATGCTCTCAGAAGCATATTTTTTAACTGTTCCTTTTCTAATTCATGTTTGTCCTTGTAGATTTTAAAAGGAGACTGTCTTTTGGATCTTAATAACTTTTTAGACAACAAGTAAGTGTATGAAATAAATTAAGTCATTTTCTGATGTGTCAGTCTTTATTGTCTACTACTAGGTGTTTTACTGTGTAGTCTTCAGTGTTTTTAAATGTCTGTCTTTTGCTTATGACAGTAATAGTGAGTAGCAGTAATAGTGAATGGCCAGTACAGTAGCTGTTGAAATAAATGCTTGTGAGTGTTTAAAAATAAGATATTTTCTCTTGTGTAGGAATCAAAACTGGGAGTTGAACCTCTGGAATGTTTTCACATTGGAGCCTGAAGAATGTTTTGTGATCATACCATCCTTACACTGAACAGCTCTGATTAATGTCACAATGTCATCTCTAGTAAATTAACTTCATTTTGTGGCAAATGTAGAAATGGGCAATTTGCATTCCAGAGAGAGCATTTACAGACCTGAACAATTTTATTTCAGTCATGCTTGTCATAAATCATTTACTGAAAAAAAAAACCCTTTAAAAGTTATAGGTTGCTGATTCATTGTATTTACATCATCCAATTTACCATTATCACTGGATTTCACAATACAGGCAGCCCCCAAGTTACGAACAAGATAGGTTCTGTAGGTTTGTTCTTAAGTTGAATTTGTACGTCAGTCGGAACAGGTACATTTTAAGTGTAACTCAAACCAAATGTATATATACATTAGTTTCGGATAGCATAGGGGAGGGCTAGCACCCCAGTGGTGTTTGTTTTACTGTCTGTGCCCCTGTTCAGAAGATTTCACCTCACTTTCTGTCCCTGTGTTAATTTGGATTTTGAAAAATTTGGCTTGATGTGGAAAAAAGATTGGTAATAAAGCTTCAGTTGAGACATCTTTTCCCCATAATAACGCTTTCAGGAGTAAATTTCCCTTCCGAAAGGTAGATTTCTCTCACTTTCCCCTTTGTGTAGTCTGTGAAAGACGCACATAATGGGTTTTGTTCTGCGCATGCGCAGCTGTTCGGGGGACTGCCTGTATATTCAACTTGCATTAATGTGAAATAGAAAAAAAACATGGGAGATGTTGGGGAGATAATTCTTGAACATGGTAATGAGTGAAATCAGTTAACTATGCTTAATGCCTGATGGTGTATCTTGTTTTCCAGCAAAGCACTGAATAAAGAATATGAAGAATATGTTCTGACAGAAGGTGACTTTGATGAGAGGGTTTTCT